GGTGCGTTTCTATCAGTCTTCCTACCATTATGACCAAGTTGCGAAAACAAGGTCAAACAACTTCTTAACAATAGATTGTCTATAAAAATTTCTTATTCAAAATTTAGTGACCATCTATGAACCCACAAACTATGAGCCTAATAAAGGCTGTCAATAAGGGCAAATATAATTTTGCCCCATTGAAGTGTGATTTTAGATGGGTCCGACTTGTTTTGAAAGTATCTTCTGCCCTCTTATTCACAGACATCGGCGTTAGAGCGCTGGTGCCTCACGGGGCCTTGGTTTAGTCCTGCTGGAGTGCAAAAATGAGCACATGGCGAGGCCGAAACTTCGGTCGATTTGAGAGGCAGAGAAATGTACATTTTCGGTAATTAATTATAGTCCTAAAAGCAACTTACAGTAAAAATAAATAACATCATCTATTGCAATGACAAATACGTTGTTACATGACTAAAATTTCAAAATGTAAAGTGAATTTACAATAAACTACTAAGGAAGTTTGACAAACCCAGATTTATGGTAAATACATATTCACCAAATCGACGATCCCACTATCAAAATGCGATTTTGTACAGACTTGAACTACCTGTCCTATAAATCACTGGCCTCCGTGGCTGTGTTGTGTGCTGGTAACATCGCCATGGTACTCACGACCCGGTATCGGGTCCTGTTGGAGGTACTGATGAGACGACGAGGCAGGATTGAAAGTGCCTTCCAGTCCAGTGGAGATGAACTAGCCTTTTGGGAGGTAAAGCCAAGTGAAATTCAACGTTATCATAAAGTATCCTCCTTTCGCATCTCGGAAAACTTAATTATCAGTCCTCACATCATTTTGACCGGCCTGGGGTGCGTGAGTTCTTAGGGCAATGTGAAATCCAATAAAAAGTAGAGAAAACTCAATTATTAGGCCTCTAGATCATCTTATGCAACTCGAAATAATTGAAGATATGTAGAACAAGATGTTGTGGCGTCTGTTATGGTCGCAGTCTCCTTTCAAATTATAGAAGTGGGTTGACCTCGATGTCGCAACTTGGTCTTGTTGTCACGGCGACTATGTAGAACGCACCTAGTCCGAAGTCGTCTGCCATAGTAGTTGTCATGATTCCCAGCATCTGGTAGTGGACTTGATACATTCTCAAACGTTTCGCCGGAATCGTAGTCGGCATTATCAGTCAGTTTTGCCATTCGCCGCACCAAGCTACGAACTCGTCAAAGAGACAAGTCAAGTCAATATGACTTCGGACTCGGTGCGTTCTACATAGTCTCCCTGAACACAAGACCAAGTTGCGACAACGAGGTCAACCCAATTCTCAAAATAATTGAGCTTACATTGAAGATCTACAGATCGTCTCGAAGTCTAAATGCCACGAATCAAATCCCATTTCCCATTGAAGCATTGGAGCCTGCTCCTCCCTACGACCGAGGGCGCCAGCCCAATTTGGCTCGCTTTGTGCTCCTCTGTTGAACATTAATCGGTATCCGTGACCGAGCAGCGAATCTGGCGGCAGCAGAAAGTTGCTCAAACTGAGGATGAGGCCGACCCGATTGCCCCATCCCCCACTAGCTATAATCTAATCACATCGTCCGAATAGCTCCCTTTTTCATTTAAAACCTTTTTTGAGAAGGCCATCTTCCAAAGCAAGGCAGACCAAATAGATTGGACAACTCTTGGGCTGCATTCACGTCTCTGCTTTCGGTCGCATGTAACGAATCTATGAATTGTATCCTTCTCTCAACTGCGGGTTTTTCGGACAGATTTCAGTCAAATGCCCAGTTTAGAGAGAAAGAGGGATGCCAATTTGGCAGAATAGCGCCGTAACAGTCCATTTTCTTTCTGCGCATGGGCCACTCCGCCCAGGGGAAGTGTGTATGAGTAGTAAAAGCTTAATTCCGTATAGCCAAAAGCTGCTCTGCTCTCTCTCTCTCTCTCTCTTGCTTGTATTTAAGTTATGGTACCGAATCCTGACGCTGACAAGAGCCATCTGGGCCATTTTTGGGCTATAAAGAGGAATAAGAAGAAAAGCTGAGTTCTGAGTTAATTTTTTTAGTTATATTGCCTAGTTTTGATAAACTATACCCTATATTCAGGTACAGTAGGTTTTCGAGACTCAGTAAATCTTGAATAAAAGTTCTAGTCACCCTAAGTGACATAAGGCGTTTGAAGTCTGAGGGTTGAACTTGCTCACAATATGCGAGCTCGGGTCGCTAAAAATATTATTTAAGCTAAATCTTGCTACTTTAAAAATTTACTTAACACGAATATATGTGGCGTGGTCCAGTTTACTAGCATAATACAAGTTGGCCCTCTTTGAAATTCACGTCTGCCTTGTAACCCAAGGACCCTCGTGGCAGTATGGCTTGGTGGTGAAGTGTCACAATTATACGTCCTACTACTCTGTTTTGAGTGCTGCTGGGGTGCCGATGAACCCTGGCGAGGTCGAAGCTGCATTTCAGACCAGTCTGGATGAGAATATCTTTCTGGGAGCAAGGATAATTGAAATTCATTGGTAACGTGTGGCCTACTCATCTCATTGTGGGAAACTTCAACGAACTGTTATTCATTCATTTATGCGACTGTAGGTGACTGGGACTCTTATTCACTTCTATCCTAATCTTTCAACAAAAGAGCAGACTCAAATAAAATTGCTATGACGATTGTCTCAATCATAATGTTGCTGTATAGTTGTCGTCCTTTTGTGGATCCGACCTGCATAGCTCTTAATCTGACATTTACACGTGAAATGCAAGTGAGCTTAACACTCATAGAGACTCTACAGCTATGTTAATGCAGTAGCTAAAATGCCAACATAGTCACCTTGCACACATTGTCCACAAATGGGTGTGGCCATGCCAAAGTGTGTGATAGCAACACGGTTGTTGGGGTTAATCGGGTCATTTTGGCAATTGATGTTAGCCATAGTCATTGTTGTGCGGGTGTCAGCATCCAAACCAACTGCCCGACCCTTCAGCTGCATCCAAACCGAATGAGGGTGCATCGGAAAGGAGTAAAACAGGCGTTTCGGTGGTTCATGGATGACAGCATCGGAGAGAGCTCTTCCACCAGTTAGCAGTCACGGAAGCCTCAAGGGTCTCTTATTGTGCTACTGGCATCTTCACCTTCCCTGGAAACTGAGCAAGCCCATAAGACTCTGAATTTGTCCTTACCACTGCATCGTCCCAAGCTGTCTGGGCGCGGTATATTAAATTGATTTCTTCAGCATTCTACATGATAAGCTAGCCAAACGGGGTACATCACATATTACCTTCTTAATAGGCAAAGAAAAGTTGAGTTTCGAGGACTCCCTTGTTTCATAATTGTTGAGCTTACTTCCATTTCGAGTGAAAGTGTCTGGTGAAGAAATTCGACGGTCGATCCCGCCAGAAGACGACGGCGGATTCCTCTTGACCAGTTGTCGATTGGCTTTAGTGGAACATTCAAGTTGACGCTATTTTTGAGGTAACCTCCTTCGATTCAGGTGAAGAGGTGCTAAGCTTTCGTCCGTCATTTTGACGAACATCATCAAAGCAAGGTATCCTCGTCACAACCAAATTCAGGCTAATGA